CTCCATCCATCCATCCATCCATCCATCCATCCATCCATCCATCCATCCATCCATCCATCCATCCATCCATCTAATATGCATATATTTAAACACACAAAAGGCTTCTTTCTTTGCCGGCGCTGTTACTTTTTTAAGGAGGCATTTCTATAACAGAGCGAAATCTTGGTTTAAAGGACCCTCATGTAGCAGGCTCACGATCACAATGGACCAAATTTTTGTTGACAACCCACAAAACAGCAGAGGCATCCGTTGCATCTGAAGTCACCTGGAAAAGGCATTTACATTCCTTTTCTACAAATTCTTTGCATTCATGGCGATCTATATCATTTGTGTAATGAGGTCGTTGCGCAAAGAGCGCAGGTGAGGTCAAGGCTCCCCCCGAGAACAGGATGGCCCCCGCTCTGCTGTTGTGTAGAAGAGCCGTGAAGACCTCTGGCCTTTGGTGAGGGAGAGTGAGATCCCTCACTTCCTCGTGCTTGTCGTCTTTTAACTTTGATGTTTTATTGATTTTATTGTCATTGCTTTGATTGGCGTGAGCCACCCAGAGTCCTTGAGAGCAAATTTAATAAATCGTGATTATTAGCGGTCGCAGTAGTATTATTTGTATCCCTTCATTTGCCTCTAAGGTTCGTACACAAACAGATGCCAGCGATGCCATTTGCTTAAGCCATGCTGGCTGGGGAATTCTGGGAGTTGACGTCCACTCATCTTAAAGTGGCCAAGTTTGGACAACACTGGCTTAAGCTATGTGATGGGGTCGTTAGGCAAATGATCTCATTCACCGCCAAGAACTTGACTTGCCATTTTATGGACATTTGGGAGGAATGGATGCCCCCTTGCCCCCAGTAGAATTTCCATTCCAATCAACTTAAGTGGGCGCCCTGCAGATGTTCTGGTCTACACCCCCCCAAATTCCCTGTTACAGGCCCAGCAGGTCCACTGTTTTAGGAAAGGCTGTTGCAACAGCTCTTCCGTTCTGATTCCTGTCGCTTTTGGCTTCAGACAGGAAATGTTACGGGCCAAATATTGTTCAGCAATGGGTCACTTTCCTGGAAAAGCCCTCCGGTCTGCCTGGTGCTAACTTAAAGCTGTAGTAACATCTTGTTCAGGCAGTCGGTGAGCTGGAATTGCAGAGGAAGAAGCCGTCAACTTTTCTGTTTTGAATTCGGGTACAAAATGATGCCAAGAGCCACGCGTGATAGTTGCAAGAGGCCATCCTTGGGGAATGTGTGGGTGCCTTTAAATATCTGGGTTTTACCACCCTGAAAAAGGAAAGGAAAGAATGTATGTGCTACGTTTTTATCGTTTTTATTGTATTTACTATCAAGAAATAATAAATAGACAGTGCAATGACCTTATACAGAAACTTGGTTGCTTAATGCACAAACTCAGGAGTGCATTAATGTTGAAGGAGCTGTTGGACCATTGGCAGGATAGTTGGAAATGTCCAGCTACGTCATCTTGAACTTGCATATTCTTCCCCACTTTTCACCAGCAATTAAAAAGAGATCGGGGAGTCTGCACCGGTTCCCTGTCCAAATTTGGTCTGTCCTTTCTGACAGTCATGGAAGGGAGATTTCTTAAAGGCTGTTGGGCAGCAAAGTTTTGCATCAATGGGTCAAAAGGGTTGCATGGATCCACACTCCTCTTAAGTGAACAAAATTCACTTCTGCAAACTCATTGCTTATTCCTTGCAATGTTGGGGCTGGAAATGGCAAAGGAAGCCAGATCAGAGCATCAGGGTTTAAAGAATGCTAGATGGGTTATAGTTGCCAGATCCGTCTGTGCCGTGTCGGATCTGGCCATGTCCACCAACCTTCCTTTCCCTCTCTAACCTTGGACTTATTTCAGGAAGTCAATGCCTTAGAATGTGAGATCCAGCTGCTTAAAACCCTCCGTCACGAGAGGATTGTGCAATATTACGGCTGTCTCCGCGATCCGGAGGAGAGGAAATTGTCCATCTTTGTGGAATACATGCCCGGGGTAAGCCAGCCTGCGTGTGTAATTTTATTCATTTATTTATGAAGCGTCTTTCTCTCCCGCTGCAATCCGAAACACTCTTGGCGGCTTACATAGAATGAAAGAATACATTGAAAACATCCAGGGTATAATCAAAACCCGCACAGTCATCGGTAGGAACCAGATACAGCATTAAAGAAAAATCACTGCGTTACTGTAAAAATAAAAGTTAGAAATAAAACGGCAACACCCCATCAGGGGACGGCTCTCTGAAATAACTCGTTTTTCAGGAGTTTTGGAAAAGAAATCAACAATGAGGGGGCCCACCTGGTTTTGGAAAAGAGTATAGACTTTTCCAGCTTTCCAAATGGGGTAAAAATGCTAGATCATCTTTCTAGGGTAGTGCTTCTCGACCCAGCAACTTTAAAATGTGTGGATTTCAATTCCCAAAATTCCCCAGCCAATTCAGCAACTTTAAGATAGGTGGACTTCAACTCCCAGAATTCCCCAG